TATTTATTTATTTATTTATTTATATAGGTTTTTGGGCAGTTATTTTTGTACTTTAGTTGGTATCTATATGTTATTATATTCTGTGCCATATTTTTGTTTGTAATGTCAATCTTCAGAAATTCGAAATTTATATGTTTAAAGTATTATAATTTTTTTCACTGATAAAATGTTCAGCAGATTTTTATTTCTTGGTGGTCGTAAGAACAGTTAGTGGGTGTTGCTTGCAGCGAATGCGACTTGATGTGGTTCAAAGGTTGCAATTAGTATTCACAGCCGGCGCTGAGTGGCTTTCTTCTTACATATTTATATATGTGATATTTTTTGCCGAGTATGGAAAATTAAAGCCGTTTCTAAGCCCCTTATTTTTTACTTAACTGAATGATTTTTACAGCTTTAGTGCCAGCGATTTATTTTCTCATTAAGTGACAGTTTGGTTTTAATGCATTAGGCGCGGTATCTGGAAGTTGGTGACGCTGCATTTGATCAAGTTTACATGAATTTTTTGTTGATTTTGCTGTTAAAATTATTATTTGATTTTGCCGGTTATTTGTTTTCAAAAAAGAAAAGGATTAAATTTAATTTGTTTCAGTAGTTATCAGCTGCTAATAATTGAATACCGAGAAACAGTGAAATAGAACTTGGATTTTTCAAGAATAAAAAAATACAATGATAAAATTTTGTTTTATTTAGGAAATTTTGAGTTGTTAGGCTTTTAATGGATCATATTTAATACATTTTTCGAGGGAAATGATCTTTTTTCTGCGGTTTTTCTCTTTAACATCTATCAAAATGTATTGATTTTATGTTAAAATGTGTGTATCTTTATCTGTCGCTGTATTGCTTTTGGAGACTATCAGAGCGTTTTTTTATTTATCTTTCTAGAAGCCGTCACGATTATCTTATATTTCACATGTGTTTTCGGGCTCTCTTAGGTGCCGTTGTAAGATTCATTTTTCAAATATTTTTGGTTGCTCGTTGCTTGAATTGTAATATATTGTTTTATTGCTGTATTACAAAATTTTTTTATGTTCTAGTTCTCTAGATGTTTTTTTCTTAGAAGTCCGGTTTGTTTTTATATTTTTTTTGCTATTGGGGACATCGTCTGTGCATTAATAATGCGTTATACTTAGTAGCCAAGTTTATAATTCTTTGCGTTTTTTACTTGATAGAATTTTACGAATATTGGCAAATGTTTAGTAGAGTGGTTTACTGAAAGCATCGTTAAATGGGAAGTTTTAATCCGCTTTTGGAAAGATCGTAAATCTATATTCGTATTTATATGTTACTTCTGATGAAGATCTTCAATGCAGTCTTTAGCTTAACTGCAGCACTTTCTTGCTTCTATAAACTGCCGCATTGTAACAGCCAAAGTAAATTTATGCTTTTGATATTTATTTATTTATTTTTGTTTGTTTCTCATTGTCTTACGTTTTTTAGCAGACTTTCTTACACTGACATATTAGGGATTTATTCGGTTTTATTTTTTACAACTTTATCTTAAAGTAATTGCACTTATAAAATTAAAGTGCAACTTCATTTGCAGCCGTACGCTTCTTTTTTTCTTTAAGGTACTTTATCTTTGAAAATATTTTAGAGGGACAGAGTGATCTACAATTTTGATTTTTCTAGTTGCTTTCAATTTCAACTAAATGAAGTGAGTCGAAAAATGTAAAGGTGACCGAAACAAATGTGGTCACTATCTTAAGTTTTTGACATGCATTTTGAAGATATTTTGTTGTTTTTTGGAAGAACTACAGGCCTTATTTTCCAAGCTTCTAATGCTTTATGCTAGGGATTCTAAACTTTGTTTTGACGTATCTATTTGCTTTGGTGGTGAAAACTAAAAAATTTTAACATCATTCTGCCTACATAGCATCATTATAAATCAAAAGGGTATCAGTGTTACTTAAACCAAGTGACACCCATACTCTTCTTGTTTTTAATGTTTTGTTAAGGGATTGATGATATCATAAGGACTAAGTTTTTCTTCAAATTACTTGTAGAAACCATAGTGGAAAGAAGCTTCAGTAGTAAAAGTTTTTTGTACTTTAGTTTTGTTCTCTAGAGCTGTAGTGTTATGTAGGTAGTTTTAATTGTTTTCTTCGTTTAATTTATTTGATGAAAATTTCTTTTGTAGCTCTACTGCGGAATCCACCTCCGATCATTATTTACGGGCACGCTAATCAAACGTTCACAGTTGGTTCGTCCGCTTTCCTTCCATGTCAAGCTAAAGGGAATACAACACCACATATTGACTGGTTCAAGGATGGTCAAATGATTCAACTAGATGACCCGGAAGTTAAATCAAGATTCAACCAGTCAGCCACTGGTTCATTAAGGCTTTCTGAATTGAGGTGTTGTTTTTGCGTTCTTTAACAAACTTTGCAATGGACCGCTTTGAAACTTTCTAAACCACTGGTTTAAAACAGTCTTGTTGTCGTAAATTTTTCCTTGAAACTAATAAACGTTGTATTAAGGAGGTCGGATACGGGTATTTACACCTGTAGAGCAAAGAATGCAGACGGTGAAACTACATGGACAGCTTCTCTTGTTGTTGAAGGTTTTTTTTCTAACTTTGTAGTTTTCTGTGTTTTGAAAAGTTTGCTTTATGAGAGTAATGCGAGGGCGGATTTGCTGCTGCAGTTGTCATTTAATTGGTTAAATTTCTCGGCTAATTTTATCCTAGGCGTTTACATCTCTTACCGCCTTTGAGATGACTAGTTTTACAAGCTTTTTTAGATCACAAAAACGCGGCTGTCACGTTTAGCAGGATGTCAGATACTGTGACTTTCCCATCCGCTCCTGGAAAACCTGTCATTGGCAATGTTAGTGAGGATATGGTTTGTCTAGAGTGGCTTCCACCTGAGCAGCGTGGAGCATCGTTAATTACTGGATACATGATGCAATACTTCAGTCCTGAGCAAGGCCAGGCATGACTTTAGCATTTTTAATGCATTGAAATTGAATATCTTGCGT